CCCCCACGACCAACCACGCTGGAGGGGACTCCATATCGTCACATCGGATCCAATAATTCAGGTTCCATATATTCGTTCGTAATACAAGAGGTTAGGTGGTGCCATTCCACCCGAAGGTTTGGGCCTCTGTAAAACTTGGCGGCGCAACCAAGGAGGCTTCTTGTTCCAGATAAAATCCAAAATAAGACTATCTACCTTACGGAAGAAAGCAAGAGGGAGGAAGATAGGAAAGCATTGAAATAAATATAAAAAGTGCGGGAATATATTCATTTTAACAGTATTAATCCCAGCAGCCACGGAAAGATTTAGGAGGGACCATCGCTCAGTGTGAATTCTATAAAGATTTTAGTGAGACATTAGCTCCATTTTTAGTTGCTGTATTTGAAGACGCCATAGAAAAAGAAGAACTTCTGCCAACTCTTCGTCAAGGTCTTATTAAATTGATCCCTAAACCAAAAAAAGATAAACTGAGTATTGAGAACTGGAGACCAATTAGCCTGTTAAATAACGATGCAAAGATATTTGCCATGGTCTTTGCTAGAACATTAAAATCAGGATTAGATGATATTATTGAAGAAGAACAATCTGGTTTTATGCCTGGAAGAAATATATGTAATAATGTATGATTAATACTAGATATGACTGATTATAATGAATATATACTGGATGATAGTTTGATTTTTACAAAGCATTTGATACGATAAGTCACCAATTTATGTTTAAAACTATTAAATGTTTTGAAGCCATTTTTGAAGGCAGTTAAAACACTGTATAATGGGTGTAACAGCTCTGTTAAGCTAGCCGACAGTACGACCCCGAGATTTGACATCCTGCGGGGAATAAGACAAGGATGTCCCCTGAGTCCTTTTTTATTCCTTCTTGTGACTCAAATTATTAAAAAAGGTTTATTTCAATGTATAACAGCCTCAGACAGAGAATTTAAATCAGTCCAACTGGCCAATGACACCACTGATGACACCACTGTTTCCTTGTCTACTATGAGGTGATCAAAGCTTGAACAAATCTGTGTAATGACCACTAAAGCAAAGTGAATGGTTTCCCTGTGAAGAATACGGTGACATATTTAGTTGTTGTTACGTCACAGTAACTTAAACTTGGACCCTGCAGTGGAACAAATCACAAACCAGTTCAATCTGTGTCTGACGAGAGAGCTCTCACTGAATGGTAGAGTTTTACTGTCTTAAGCTGAGGGGACATCTCGAGCTGTCTGTGTGTCCTTATCACCTGAAATACCTGCTGCAGTATACGACACATTAGATCAGACTTTATTCAGCTGTATTTGGAGGAACAGATAGATAACATTATAATGTTTTATGTAACATAAGAAGAGATGGTGGTCTTCAGGTGCTAAGTTATGAAACATTACATAATTCTTTCAAAGTAAAATGGTTAGCTAATTTAGTTACAGAAAAGACAATATTTGGAATACTTTCCCTAAACATATATTGAACTCAATCGGCGGTCTTAGACTTCTGTTAACATGAGATTATAAGACTGAAAAATTACCTGTAAAATTAGCACATTTTCATAAACAAGCGCTGCTGTCCTGGAAAATGTGCACAAACATATTTTTTTGCCAACTAGTTATTACATCTGGAATAACAAGAGTATTCGGTATAGAAACAAATCATTGTATTATTAAAAATGGGTTGAAAATGGTATTAGTTAAACAACTTGTGAATGCTGAGGGACAGTTACTAACGTATGATGAATTCCTCTCTAAGTTCAGGCTGCAAATTACACCAAAGGAATATGCAGTGGTCTGAGATGCTGTACTGAGGAGTGCACTGCAGCTGCTTAGAGGATCAACTGTTGAGGTCTCTATGACTGTTCCACTCAGCAGTGTTTGTTCCTCAGAGTAAATGACATTACTAAGAATAAATGTTGGAATAAAGTCATCAGGAATCACATGCATACTGTATCTGTGCCCTCAGCAAAATTCTTTTGGACCTCGCTTCATGGAGAAGTTGATTGGAAGAAATTTTGGAAACTTTAAAATTGATATTGAATATTCTTGTATTTTCTGTGGAAGAGAGGAAGAAACAATCTGTCATATGTTTGATCACTGTATATAGCCTATACTAGAATGTTCTGGATGGATGAACAGAACTACATCAACAGAAAAGCTGGACAAACAATCCACTTACAAGAAAAAGACATTTTTATTTGTTTTGAAGACGAGGAGAAAGAGAAAGACTTTATTGTTTTGTACAGATACTTCTTTTTCTAGGAAAATTTCACATTCACAAGAAGACCTGGACAGACTCCAAACCCAGCTTTGAACATTTTCTGCAACAACTGAAGCAACATTGCTTCACTGTTAAAGGTCTTAAGAGCTCAAAACTGATTCTGTTTTTGATAAGTATATGATATTTTACTCATATTTTGCTTATTGTTCATGTCTTTAAATGAAAAACTGATTTTCTCAGGTGTCAAAGGTCAAAACGGAGTTGATCCAGGCTGTAAAGAGTTAAGACAATTATTCATTCATTCATCTTCTAACCGCTTCATCCTCTTGAGGGTCGCGGGGGGGCTGGAGTCTATCCCAGCTGACATTAGGCGAGAGGCAGGGTTCACCTGGACAGGTCACCAGACTATCACAGGACTGACACATAGAGACAGACAACCATTCACACTCACATTCACACCTACGGACAATTTAGAGTCACCAATTAACCTGCATGTCTTTGGACTGTGGGAGGAAGCTGGAGCACCTGGAGGAAACCCACGCTGACACAGGGAGAACATG